CCTGCTGTTTCTGTGAGTTCATCTGCACAGATGAGTTCCCACAGTTGAACATATTGGTGGAGCCATGGTAATTCTGCAGGCACCTTAGTGATGAAAGTGTCAACTTAAACTTTCTTGATTAAATCCTTTTCATAACATAGGTGTACATGGGTGGGATAGGCAGATGCAAGCTTGCTCTCTCTACAAGCCTGCTTTGCTCTAGAAGGTGTTCTCAAGCCCATATAGTCCATCTTTCAGTAAACTGCAGTTACTCGATGTGCCTGGCCTCTTTCTAGCAGTGGTATTACTAATGGCAGTTTCCTCACTTGTGCTTCTTGTTTCTTCAGCACCTCTGAATCTTCAGAAGTGCCAGACACGGTAAGATTGTTGTGTTCAAGCTGCAAACAAAAGACTAAGGAGGAAGGTGTGTTCGCCTGCAGGATTAAAAACATTTAATAACAATAGTACTGTTATACAAATTCATTTTCAGTTCTCAGCAAAAATATATCATGTGCAGATTCACATCAGGCCTCTGAGTAAGTGGAATGATTCAGGACCTCTATGTAGGAGCATGGGGTCTTTCCCCAACCCCTCCTCCTGCAACGAGTGGGATGTGGCAAGCTAAGCCAGCCACCACCAAGCGTTGTTATTGCTGCGGAGGTTCTGTATTCCACACCATGGAAATGCCATTTGTTGGGCTGTTGCTGTTCAGGTTAGCAAGATGTAAACCCACCGTGATCTTTTATCACCCAAAGGTGAAATGTGAAGGATGGCTTAACCTGTTTTCCTCATTGTTGTCATAATGTATATATTCAAAGCGTGTGTCAGAACAAGCTATCTTGGAGAATGTTGTAACTGTATTTATAGGGATGTGGGATAGTTTGCAACAGGAGGGAAACGTGAAACAAATTTGAAGCTTGTAAGTTGAGTGGGACACTTTTGTTTGAAACAACGTGAAATTTGAATTAGCATTAGTCCCTCAGATTTTTTTACAAGATGGTGTCTGTCTAAGTGGTCCAGCTTCCCAGTTGGCATTGACATAGGCTCATACTAATGCAGCTGCCTGGCTTGATAGATGGCACCATGGCCAGCCTGCAAGTGTGTACCTGAAAACCTGCTGCTTCTCACCTGAACCTTCCGCCACTTCAAAAGTCAGCTGGTGGACAAGACTCTATATTCCATGTTTATATAGGCTGTAATACATTGCTGTTTTAAAAATAACTAGCTTTGTCTTACGCTTGGCAGCACAAGTCACTCTAGTCGGGGCTATCAGCAGGAGGAGGTTGTACCTCAGTACTTGTCCGGGTAACGCTGCACGCCTGGCCCAGCCTGGACACATCTCATGTAGTTCCCATGCTGGAAATCTTCAAACATGATGGGAATAAGCTTTAGTAATTCCTAAAGGAGCAGAGAAACAGGTTGAAGGTGTAAATGAAACACAATTTTGTGAATGTGAAGCATGTTTTGTTATGAATACTTTTTCTGTCTTAGTCCAATAATTGTAACATAAACCTATAGAGCAGAAGGAGAGGATCTTTGTTCGTGCACAGCTGCAGAAAAAGAGCATGTAAATCTGTTGAAATTGCCATCATTTCGTTTTTTCTTCAATATTTAATCATTTGCTTCTTGGCTATTGCACTACTTGCCATTTCACTTTGTGTTATTTCAGTTGAGTTGAGAAAAAAAAATGGAGGGTTTCATTATCTCTAGGGACTGATTTTCTTGGACTGAGTAGTTGGACAGTGATTTCCAAAGTATTGTGCTAGAAAATGTTAACAAAACCTTGCAAAGCAGTGCCAGAGTACTCTTATTTTTGTTTTCTTAAAAGCAAAAATGTAAATGTTATTAAGATGTTGAAAGGTACTTCTGAGTTACTTAGATTTATTCATTAATTTTACAGGAATGACAAATTCTGTCCAAAAAAAAAGCTGACATCCTTAGACAGAAACTTTGTTGGAGTAGACTTGATATAACAGATGGGCTGGAGCAGCCCCTTGTGAAGGATGAGGGCAATCAAAGCTGTGATGGCAGCTTATCGACAGTCATTTTTTTTTTTTGATTGAGAGCTACAAAGCCTGGCATGGTGGGCTGCTTCTCTGCTGCTGAATGAGCTAACCTGGGAACCCTGATGCATCTGGAATTGTCTGTAAGACCTGCTTGAAGGGGGGAAAGTCTCCTTTTCTTTAAACATTGGATGTCGTTGCTTTAAAAAAATACTGACTTTTTAAAGGAGAAGAGGGAGAAAAGTGTTTAGGGGTGCTTCATTTCCTCCAATACTGTGCATTTTCAGTATATAGTCAAAGGATTAGTCGGAGGATTCTTGACTGTGGAAATGTTTCAGGTTGCTTGCTTGCTTGTTTGTTTGTTTTTTTAATGTACAGCAACTCTTGATAGAACAACTTCATAATTTTGACATCCTCAGAAATCATCAATATTAAAATCTTTCTATATATATCCGACTCAGTTACTTTGTGTGGCTTTGTAATTGTCTGTATTTATTTGCTTTCTAAGATACAGTACTTGCTTAATTCCAAGGATACACATGTGCTTTTGTAATTTTCTTTACGCTTTAGAAAATAAGCTAGGACTGCACAACTTTGTCACTGAAATTACATTCCCTGCAGGAGCTGCAGTATTCACTGTGGCTATATAATATCACAACTTGACCTTTTTCTGCCACATAGTTTTTTTTCCTTGTCAGGAAGAAATTAAAAAGACCTGTCATCTTGTTACATTAATAGGCAGTTAGGGCTGCACAGGTTGGTATAAAAAATGGACACACTAAAACAGGTAAACATAAGCAAATATATTTAGTAGTTATCATAATCTATGCAAGTATGCTTTTAAATTTTTGAAATTGGATTGCTGTGCCATAATAAACATGAACGTCATTGCCCAGCACCCAGGCTTTGGTAGCTTGGCATTTGGATTTGCAGAACCTAAATTTCCCTGGTTCGTTTTCCATACAAGTGAAATATGTTGCTTATTTATGGATAAACAGTAAGCTTCTAGTTGAAAATATATAACCAGTGAGTGCAATAAGCAGCCAGAAGGCATGTCAGGGGCAGAAGGTGCCTGTTTGTATATATCAGGCAGTAGACATCTATGTGCTTTTATGTGATTCTTTATTCTTTGCTTTTTTAACTGTGTAGTATCAGTACGCTATACATTGCTGCTGACAACTGGCAATTTCTGACTTCCCGGTAGGACTGGATTTTGAGAAGATTTAGATGTGTGGAGTTAAATGTGGCTTCCTGAAGCCTTGCCTGGTGGAAGTAAATAGGAGTTTCATTGTAGGTGTCAGTGGGCCAAGACTTGACATTTATTGTTGTTTTCCTACCCTGAAGAAGAAGAAAAGCATATTGGGAGATCAGAGACTGTTTGGATGATTTTGGTGACTAGAACAGTGCAGTACGATGTAAGTTTTGACAGGCAGTTAGCAATTTAATTTAGAGGGCCTTAAGAAGTGAGGACGCATTAACATTAGTGTTTTAATTTAGATGATGTCTATCCTTCATGAATCTTCATCTCTTCAAGATTTACGCCCTTGCCGGCATCTCAGAGTGTGCAGCTCTTTCAGACGAAATGAGCCCGGATGAGGCATTGCAGTTGCTAACGGGCAGGCAGACCACGGAGCCAGGCTCAAAACCCATGTGTATGTAGATACGGGGTCCTCAGTACCAACAGTTTCACTCTGGAGGTCCTCTCCTGCAACACCACGAGTTGGTTGTGTAGGCATGGCCTCAAATGGCTGTACTGGTGGGGAAGAGGAGCTGAGGAAGGGAGCTGGGAGGATCTAAATACCTTGTCTTAGCCAACCGGCAAGGCAGTACCATCCAGCCATAGGCGCAATCATTTATGGCTGGTAGTGTCTGAAATGGCTCAAGCACTTTTGCAAGTAGTCAGTTGGGCATATTGTGCATCATGGATTACTGATTTGAAATAAAAAGTATTTTATGCTTAGAAAAATGTGGACCACTAAAATTTCTGAGGATAACACATCTGGGCATTCAGGCACAAAGGGGACATTTAAAGCAAGCTTCATTTTGACCAGAGGGGAAAAAAAAAAGTGATCTTTGACATTTTTGATGGTTATTACTGTGTGAAAGCCTATAGGCTGCTAGGTATTTGAGGGCTTGAATATTCAGTATTTCAGTCAGCACAAATTAATAGAACAAGATGAAAAATGCTTCTGCAGCGTGAACAAAACTACTCGTGTTTTCCTGAAGGTTTATTTAGCTCTCCCTGAGAACATAGGCACAATATCTGCGTTCATTTGATCGCTGTGGAAAATGGTAGAAGGCTTCCTTTTCTTTCCCTTTTCATTTTGTTCAGTTGATTTATTTATGAGTTACTGTTTGTGTGGAATGGTTGATTCGTTTTAGAGAGAAGTGGAAACTTCTGCCAAATGCTCCTGTTGGGGTAGATTCACATCCCTGCAATGTGGCGCTAAGGCATTTCAAAGCAATCGTAGTCTGGTTCACACAAAAGTAATACAATAGAGAAGGTTTCGGGCGCTTCGGTGGCAGTGAAATAAAACTGCAAAACCTAAAACCAAGAGGTTGCAAGTGTCGCCTGCAACATGTTGGATGCCATAGATTAGTTCTGTATGACCTTTAGAGGGAGTGAAAACATATTTCCCTAGACAGTACAGAGAGTGCTAAAATCCTGCATGTTTTGGCAGAAAAAAAGATAGAGCACAAAGCAACAGCTAGATTTGAAAGCTGGATTTATTTAAATTAAAAATGCAAACCCCATTTCTAGCAGAATGTGATTGACCATTGAAAATATAAACAGCCAAGGGAAAGGCAATTCGTCTCTTGATGTCTTCCAGGCAAAACTTTAGTCAAGTGCAAGTTATGCCTGATTTCCAGGGTAATGGGGTATCAGTCTGCAGCTGTGTTATGCAGGAGATCATAGTTGATATTTGTTAAGACCTTTTTCGATTTAAAATCAGAAACTATAACGCAAGCCAAATTGAAATCAACAGTGTTCGTATTTGTGTCTCCCTCCGCTCGCAGGTACTACAGTGCTACCATTTTGCAGATGTCAGGAGTTGAAGACGACAGGCTTGCAATCTGGCTGGCTGCACTGACAGCATTTATAAACTTCATTTTTACTCTCGTGGGAGTCTGGCTTGTTGAAAGAATGGGTCGCCGGAAACTTACACTTGGTAGCTTAACAGGTGAGTGCTTAATTAGTGTATTGTATATTCCTCATAATTATTAATCAAATGAAAGTAATATTTCAAGTGCTAGTTTTATCACAGTGGTCCTCTTTAAAATAACAGTGTTGACCTCATCTTCTCCCTGAAATCATATAGCTTTTCAAGACTAGTAGTATAGTACCGCAGCTCAAGGCTAATTTAAAAAATAGAGGTTTAGCCTGCTGTTTTTTCAGGCGCAGTTTCTCCTTCAAGCCATGTTTGACAATGTTTTCATTTAGCTTTTTATGCTTTTTTTCATTATAAGGAATCAAATGCTTGGAACTTTACAGCTGATTAGTTTTTAAATCTCATGTGTGTATACGTGATATGTAATTTCTGTCTCATTAATGTGAATTCAGAACATCTTATCAAGAACTACTGGAGAAAGCGTATCACATAGCCATTTCAGCACTTTTTAAAAATGAATGCAGTTCTTTGCATGTCAAATACAATACAGTAAATACCTTACCTACACTAATGTGATTTTAATTCATCTCCTGTATGAGATACTGAAAGACGGAATTCTGGATTTGTACATTTTTTCCAAATATTTAAACACCATAACTCATCACGTAGCCGTCTCTTGGAAGCAGGAAAAGGCAGAGCAAGCAGTCTTGCCTATGCTGAAACGTGTGCTGCCATTTACCCAGTAAGTCCCTGCTTGCTCCCGTGTTACGTGCTTGTTCCTCCTGAAGTGATCTGTGACCGATACCTGCCTCTGTCTGAAAGGTTCGGACGTTTCCAAGAACAGGGTTTGGAAGAGAGAAACAGTTCCTGCTCCTCTTAAAATAATGTTCACAAGTGTTTAGCTAGGAAGGTTTAATGTCTCCATATTTTGTTCTGTTGTCGCTGTCAGGGATCCAAACTCCTAGTTAATGCAACACAGCAGAGTGGGGGACCACCTGCCAAGTCGCTGGCCATCTGCAGTTCCCAAGGGATGGGAGTTGATCTACACTCACAGTATTTGAGTGCATTGATGTAGGCCGAACAGTGATGGCACAGTGTTGCAGCTGGTTTGATACACAGTTACCCAAATTTGTAAATTAAAACATGCAGTTTGGAGGCAATTTGGTATTTCCAAGTTATAATAAATGTGTATTTGGAGTGTTACCATTTTGATTTGGAGTCGAGAAACCTGAAGTGTTTTTCACAATCCAAGTTCAGAAATGTAGTTACGACAGAGGAGATTGGAAAGGCACGTTCTTCACGTCTTAAAAAAAAAAAGAACGAAATTCTCAAATTGCTACTTTTATCGCAGTCTACTTCCAGATCAGTTAAAATACATCCTCCCTATAAGTTCTATTCCTCCAGCCAGCGCCAAGTCTCTCAGAGGGGAAAGACCCATCCTGTATCATTTCCTATGCTCGATACCCCTTTTTCCCCCATGGTACTTGTCTGTTTTCTTGTCTTTCTGTGAAGTGGATCTCTCCTCACACTGCACTGGTACTTCTGGTTCTTGGGTGCTGCCTCTCGTTTATACTGTATTAGAATGGAGGATTTATACGTTTATATATTTGGTCCTGATACCTTATACATCTGGGCAGCTCCTCAGGAGTTGTTGCTTATCTGGACCCAGCTGTATAGGTGTCATTCCCACATGGACTTTTCATACAATCACAGAACTCTTTCCTTTTTGGCTCTGGTTAACATATTTGAAGGTCATATTTGAAAGGTAGATATAAATGTCTCTTACAAAGCATATTAGTCATAGAACAGAGAAGAATATAGAAGTAAGACACAGAATTAAGGAAGGAGAATAATACAGTTAAGAGTTATTTGTTTATGATGTTTGGACACAAAGTAATTGTTTGGTAAAAATATTCTTGGTCCTTCTGTGGTCAGTTGCCAGTCTGCAGCATCACTTGATCCATGCTGCATTGCTTGCTGTGTTCTTTATCATACAGTCCCTCCGTAAGGAAGATACAAATAATGACAGTAATGAAATCGTATGTCATCTCTCTGTACTATTTAGAATTTTTTTATGTGGTGTTTGACACTTTGTTTGAGGTAGCGGTGGATATGATGTGTTTTCCTTAGCAAGTGGGCTGTTTAATAAAATGATAATTACTAAATCTGCTGATGGATTTGTTTTCCATGATGATTTTTCTCGTGGGGTAAACATATTTTACTGCTCTACTTTGGTTTGCATTTCTAAGGACATTGACTTTCACACTGAGTTACTACTGTCTGCTTCTCTGGTCTTTTGAGAAGCCAGGTATGCCTCAGTCTCCCATTACATAGAATGAGGACAAAACTACTACCTTTGCCTGCTGCTGCAAGGGTGTGGGGTTTTTTTTGGTAAAGGTTAATTGATTTGATGTTTGTTAGGTGATAACCTACAAGAATAATCAGTAGAGATATAGTAATGTTAATATTTTGATTAATAGCCAACATACTGTAATATAATTTTGTAAACTCATGCAGCTTTTCCTGCTTTCCGAAAACATTTGGGAAAGAGCTATTTTACATTTAATTTAATGTATCTCTATTATTTTCAAAATATTAGCAACTTTTGAAAAAATTAGTCTTTCGGATAGATCCAGAAGCCTTAGGAAAATTACAGTAAACTGCATCTGCCAAAAAAAAAAAAAATCACACCTTTTCAGTTCTCTTTACTACAGTTACTGATTCCTCTTAGTTTCCCATTCATTTTCTATCTTGGCATCATTTCTTTATCTTTCTTTTGCTCTTTTCTTCAGTTAATTTCTTTCTTTAAAGCTGTTAATTGGGAAACATGAAGGAATTCTGACAAGTGCGATATCCATTTCATTTGTGTTTTCCTTTTTCCCCTTCAGAAATTGTCAATTGAAAGCATGGTGGTATTTGGGCATTGGACGATTTGTATCTCTTTTTGTAACAGAGAGCATCTAAAATATCTTCAGGATATTTCCTTTTTTTTTTTTTTTTTTTAATCTCAGCTAATGATGTACTGTAATTGTATGTTTTTGTTCATCCTAGACAAACTTTCCACAGAATGAAAATATGTAATCAACTTCATTCACCAAGTTTACATATTCCGTACTTTTCCAAAGAAATAAGACATTAGCAGAGGTACTGGAAGTGTGTGTTAGTGTATTTGGTTAACTTAAAAGACAGACAAAGCATATTTAGACTGAATATAAAAAAGATTTTAAGCCCTGTCTAAAGATATTTGCTGCCTGGTTTATGGCATTTCGAAAGTACAGTAAATCTAGTGCAATATCCCGCCTGCCCAGAAAACTGGGATTGTTAGCGTACCTACTAGCCATAGCAGTACAAAGCCAAGTATAGAACAAACTGAAAGCACATTTTATGGTGGATAGGTGCTTTCTCCACATATAGTTTGTGATTGAGTTTAAGGTCTTAGTTGCCTCAGTTCGGGTAAACGTGTGGTCCAGTCATCTCCAGTTCATGCATATTCATGCCTATTAGCCATGGCTGCTGCACAGGCACATTCATGAATAATTTTATTACACAGATCTTGGTACTTAAGATATTATTTATATCTCAAAAAAGTTTTTCACATACTTGGTGGGTTTGCCTGCTAGGAAACTCTTGCTTTTCTCTTTAAAAACACCATCAAACCCACCCCCGAAACTGCCAAAACATCCCCTATGCCCTCCACCCACCAAAAAAACCCAAACTCCAAAATAAAAAGCAGATAATGTCTAATTTCTTAAAGATTGCCAGTGACATGTTAAGGTTTTTAATGTAGTGGCATTTCTAAAGGTTTGCACAGATGCAGAAAATTACTTACATGCTTCTAACATACAGAGCAAAGGGTTGATGATGAGTATTTGGAATTGAATACAGTATCCTTCACCTGCCGTCAACCATTAAGCTATATCACTGCGCACTTCTATATGTATGCTGCCTTCCGACTGGGATGTGCTTCAGTGATTTGTGAGTCTGTTTTTGTATGGTAAGGATAATGTTATTAGATCATTAGTAACTAACTCACGAATACTGTTATCACTAGTTTTGTATTTCTAGATCAGGCTGTCCATGTTATATGTGACCTCTCAAATAAGACACGCCACATAAATATTGAGTATACAAATAGGTATACAGGGTATTTTATACAACATAGAACTCGATGCTTTGTCGAGTAGCAAGATGTAAAGGTTTTGTAAGTCTGAGTTTGGGATAGTTGCAGTAGTATCATGAGTAGTGAAGTATATCAATTTTCATTAAAATGATACAGCATATTGTGTGTGTGTGTGACAAATAAGGTAGGAAAACTATGGGTTATGTTCTAGTAATGGCCTGTTCCACACAGTATGAACCTTTTTTGCCATCTTCCCTCTCATCATTTCGCCCAGCTCATGCACAAGGAATTTGTTGGGGAGGACGGGAGCAAATAGATGGAAGAGGCCTTTTTCCTAGCAGATGTTATGTGTGCTCTTTGAAACGAGATCAGAAATTGCCGTTGGGCTTGTTGGTGGTGTTTTTATGAAAAGTCAAATTTCTCTCATTTCACAAAGGGAAGTGGAGTCAATGAAAAAGCTGATGCTATTTTCTGTTTTACAGGAAAGCCTGCAAGTCTGGGTGTGGGAGTGGGAAGAAGTGCGGTGATTTCAAAGTCACTATTAAATTTTACCTTTACAGCATTATTTTCAACATCAAAAAAAATATATCTGTTCATTCATGCAGTCTTCACTTCTGCATATTAAAAAAAAAAATCTCAAGCTATTAATTTAATATCTGGACATTAAACCTGATGCACTTGACTTTAACATCTAACCTAATTCAAGATGCAGATGTAGCAAAGGGTATTTTTCTTAGGTTCTCATCACAACTCCCTAGCAAATGCTGTATGCATAGTAATGCGATGCCTTCCTTTCCCAAGCATAATTCAGTTCAATAGAGAATTATTTCATGTACTCTGGAGAAAAGTATCACATTGTTCTTTATCTGTATTTTTAGGTACTGCTGTAGCACTCATTATCCTAGCTTCGGGATTTTTGCTATCAGCTCAGGTCTCGCCAAGAATCACACTTAATCCACCAGATCCTTCACATCAAAACTCTACCTGCACAAAATACAGGTGAGATTTCATGATCATTCATCTGATCTTCTTGAAGATTGTTTCCAATTAATTGAGTTTTACAACCTAGTGTACATAATAGACAATTATTCACAAAGTCTAGTACAAGGAGCTAAACTAGATACCTAAAGTTAAAATCCTAACTTCCCTCAATAGAGAAAATTAGACACTCTGCTTAAATGCTCTGAATAATCCTTTGGAGTTTCTTGGACTAAATAAGGTGGTTAAGTGGCAAACTCCACACTTGAGATCTCCTCTGTTATATCACACCTGCTGCAATTTATAATGGACACAAAGTTAGGAATATTTTAAAAGTAATTTGTGAATATAACAGTGGTTATTTGTCTGCTTGTAGATTTGTCATGTGTAACAGCTGTGAACTCTTCAAGACGATGTGTTCCTTGCCTTTTGTCTTCCTGAGTGGGAAAAAAATAATCTTCAGATAATTACAGATCCATCAACAACTAAAACAAATGTGATTTTTTTTTTGACCTTTTTTTTCAATAGTGGGTAGAAGATGCACTCTTGTATGCAATCATAGTTTCAAATAACATTACTTCTGGGGTGTTAGGAATGTTTCATTTTCTGTATTTTGTGGTTTTTATTCACATGTGAGTGCTCTTATGTTCATGTAGCTGGCAGACTAGAAAATTCCCTGTTGAGAGAAGACTAGTTAAATGGCTGAAGAAATTCTTACTTATGTTCAAAATCTATTTTATATGTGTTTGCAGTACACAAATATCAAGAAATGAGAGGTACGCTTCTAGTTTCCTAGTGATATTGGCTAGAAATGTGATTCATGGCTTTTCATATGCCAGCACAATGTCTTAAGTGAAAGATTTAGAGGATCTGAAGCTTTGTAGACCCCTGGGAAGGCGACAGAAGGTCTTCAAAATAGTATAAATAGATGCTAATAACAGCAACATTAGATACTACCGGATATGAGGATCCTTACATGCAAAAACTCTATTTTTATTTGTTTTCTACTGCAGAGTCAACTCTATTTTGCAATTTTCGAGATACGCCTATACAGCTTTTTCAAATGGCAAGTAATCTGGTTGAAAGCTGCAAGGAGGGGAAGAGCTTCCAAATGCTCTTCTTTCAGAATAAGATAACATCAATAGCAGGATGTGAAAAGGATTTGCCTAGGACTTAAGTTAACTATTTAGAAAGGATGTCTGGAGAGCACAGATGCACCATTCACAGAACTCATTATTTGTTATCTAATAAAGCTAGATGATTGTATAACCTGAAACAGTATAAAATAGGCGTAGAAGAAATATGGTTAGTCCACCTTAAGAAGTAATGAAAAATGATGCGACACAGTTTTCATGTTCCAGTTAACCACAGATAGTCAGGAAGGAAATTTTGACTCACTGCGGCTTGCTCAGTGTGCACTTCTGGGCAAAAGCATGAAAAATTAAAGCAGGTAGTTCTAGTAAAGGTATGTTGTTTTGTGAATTATTGGAATATTGTAATCTGTCATAATTTCTGTTTCTGACACGAAGTGAGCAAAAGCAGATACGATAGAAATTCAAAGGCTCTAGGAAAGGGTCTAGAAAAGAGCAATAAAAGAATTGCAATATTTTCATTTGGGAATATTGTGAAATAGGAGGAGCTCTCTTAGTTTACAGATATAAGTGAACATGTAGAGGGGGATGTGAAATAATGAGCAACGTATGAGAAAGCTTTAGTTGCTCCTATTTTAATCTTATAGTATACCTTGGTAAAGAGACACAAAAGCCGGGAGAGCTGAAACTAATAAACAGATGCAGTTACCCACAGATCACAGAATTAGGCTACAGCACCTACTATTTAAAAGGTTTTTAAAAAATAGGCATTTATATGGTTAATAACAGCTTTCACACTTGTGTATCTAAAAGTATATTTGGGATATCAATTTTCATGCTTCAAAATATCACCAAACGCTGACCTTGCTAGAGCCAGAGGAAGAATATTCCTTCAGCATCATGAATATTAGTGTCCATTTTGCGAGATGATATCAGCCACTGACTCCGTACTGGGAAGCCTCGAAATTCCAGGTGTCTTTAGCCAAAGGAGCAGTAAGTGCAAGAAATATTCTTTGCTTTTGGCATGGGTCAAGGGAAGAAATACATTTTAAACATTTTATCTCCAGTGATGTCTCCAGAGGAGCTTAGTTTTGGCATGCCTTTCTGCCAAGCTCTTGTAGCCACATATAGAGAATATATGCTAATTCATTCCTTTATCTAAATTATTTCTGGAGGTGATGACATATAGGCATACATTATACTTGACTTGGAAAAGTGGCTGTTCAGGATACGGGTAGTCCTGCTTTCTGTGCACGTGGTCAATAAGCTGAATGAAATTTAAAAAAATTATTTTGTCGTGAGAAAGTAGATGGTGTCTTCACCATTCCACTCGGGTTAGAACTTAGCATAACATGCATGGTCTTGGAAAGAAGAGGAGGTGGGGACTGCAAACCAAAGGAAAGCTAAAGGCTGGGCTGTATTTTGTGGGGCTCGCCTCTCTCTCCTTTTTGGCCCTGAAGGTATTCCCTGTGGCAGTTATAGAGTTGGGTCAAAGAGATTCTCAAACCTGAGCATTTGGAAGTAAAAGTCTACTCTGCATAATGCCAGTCTTGCATATTTTCTATGCTACTCTAAGAATAATGGCACAAACAAACAAAGAAAACAAACCAGTTAAGATAGGCTGCAAATACAAAGTAAAATATTTTCATTTGGTGTAGAGACGTATAATATCATAGTTGATCAACAGCCAAAAAATAATCTGTACATCAGTGGAAAAAAAAATGAATGTAATCCTCATTCACAAGGACATCATGGAAATAATGCAAACCCAGCAGGACACCCTGAACACTGAAATTGTTTTTGCCTCCTCACAGGTGGAAGTGGGTGGGTGTCTCACTGTGGAAAGGCAAGGCGAATGCTCATCTGTGTGCCATCCTTAAATCAAACTCCATTTTCACACGCAACCTGTATAAGGTTGCATAGATGTTTGCAGTGTGACCACTTCTCTTCTTTGATCCTAATCTCTTCAGCAGCTGTGGTCTGTTACTTACCATCAAGGCCACAGAGAAGCTCAGAGGTAAATTTAGGAGTACAAAACAGCATCGTCCCAAAATCTGTAATCTTAAAAATTAAAAGATAAGGTAGCCATTCCTGTTATTATTCTGACTACTCAAAACCCTATAAACATGTTCCTGTTTTTACTGGGGACTTGCCTGGTTCTGGAAGGAGGTCAAGGTTAGGGCATGTGCACTAGCTACCCTCCTGCCTTTTCCCAGTCTTCAAAGAATCAAAGGTGTGACTGTCCCAGTCTGTCTTTCTCCAGGACATTCACCCGTTTCTGGAAAACGACTGTTGTCCTGTTGCCTTGCATTCTTGGTCTTTTGGTCTCCTTCCATTCATATCTCTGTCTCTCTTACTGCACTTCTGGAGACTTGGTCAGCTGTAGAAGACATAATGTGAATTTGTTCTGCTTAAGCAGTTTTTTCACCTCAGCTACTGTATGAAAATGGTAACTTTTGTGTTAAGCTTAGGTTAACCCTGAGGCTCATGTCCTAGGGAAATGATACTTGTGGACAAGAACTTTCTCAGGTTCCTTCCCAAACTGATTGTCTTCAGAGTTTGATTAAAATAATACAGGCGGTGCCAGCTGCCCTGAACACACAAGGGCTCTGTTGTTCATCTTTGAATTAGTCACCCTCATGTGGTTACTGTTCCTCAGCTCATCGTACAAATAACACACCACTGAGATGAAGGCACCAATATTTAGTACTCTTACATAACAATTTTACAAGATAGCTAATGGGCAGAATTATATATTTTCTTTATGAATTTAGCAAAAGTATATAATTGGGATCAGTCCTGAAAAACTCAGCTAACCTAGTAACTGAAGCTCATTTTATTGTAGTTAATAGCCTTAGGATACATATAGTAAGTATGTTAGCTATTGTACTTTATTTTGTTAACTTATTGACAATCTGATTTATCTGCAAACTAGACATCAGTATTCTTCATACTGTCACTGTGTCACAGAACCAGTATTTTTTTTAAATATGATTCTCATTTTATGTTTCTAATGTCAAAGTGACTGAGCTACTGGTCATTCTGAGAACTGAGAATTGCAATAATAAATATAGTAATGCATTTCTGCTATTAAGGTCAGAAAATTATGAGTATGTAAAGAGACAAACATGTTTGAGAATACTTTTGCCAGCTCTTATGAAATGTAATTAAAATTCTGATAGACAGTTTATGTTGTAGAACTGTAAAATGACCTCGACAGAGTCTTGAATTTTATTAAGAAGATAATATAAGGATATATCACTTGGTAATAATTGTCCATCTGCTGGCATGTTGCTCCTATCAATCAAAACTTGTAATTTAATTTAAAATCATAAGGAATAGGAAGTAATATGTCAGTTCCATGTAGTAAGCATCTTTAATATGAATGAGGAAGAACTCTCATCAATTTAAACCCAAAGATCTGAAAAGTGACTTACCTGAACTACAACGTCTGTGAGTGTAATGCAGACCCTGCACTGTTAACATTTCCTCTTTGTCTTTGAATCAAACTCTGCATTACTGAGGGAACACAGTGATATTCATATAGTAACCTATTAACATTTCACATCTCCGCGAATACTTCTAAGACTTTGCTGTTTAACAAAAACTGAAACAATGCTTAGGGAATTATTTTGTAAAATCTTCCAAAGTGATGGTGTTACACTTTCTATGGTCTGCGGGTTTTAGTCACATAAGGATGATTTTAATCAAGTTTGAACAAGGCTTGTATCTGATCTGCCCAGAAGCTGGGAGTATAGTATGTATGTGTAGGGTCTCTTTGAAAGAGTAGTTTTAAAAGTAAAGTATTCTACGGAAACTGCCATTATGCTCAGAATAAAGGTACATGTAACTCAGTTGTTTCTGTTAATTATTGTGTGTATTGCTCAGTTCCAGGCATAAATCAGGAAGGTGTTGTCCTGGGGGCTATAT